GCAATTCTACAAAACTGCATGAAAGGTCCAAGTTAAAATCATGTATTTATGATTATGCGGTGTACCGCGGGTCAATCCCCAAACTTTAAAAATGATTCATAGTATAATATTTATACATGTATATATGTCACATATTGTTCTAAAATTAACAATCCAACTAAAATCATACAATTTAAATAATTTTAAACATATTCGAAACCAACACAAAAAATACAATCTAAAAATGATAGAATTTAATTAATAATCAAAATAAAGTAAAGCAAACACAAATAAATTATCCCGCAACGTACAAAGGATTAAAAACCCGGTAATTTTCCCCCGCGCTGTAGCGCGGGTCCGAATCTAGTGGGTAGGGTAAAAGAGCAGACTGGTGTAACTTAACCTAAGCTGAACAAACTCATTTGCTAATGAGTCATTTTGACAACAGTATGTTGTGCAGCCTTTTGTAATATTTATCTGTAGCTCTGAACTTCTAAGTAATGCAGCCTTTTGTAAGTTCAATTCTCAATTTCATAGGCTCTTGTTATACCATATCTATTTATGTAATGGTTAAATTGACTGAAAACAGAATTAACAAGATAAACCAAACTGATAACAGGAAATATATCCATGGATCATAAAGCATAAATTATTCTACTACACCAAAGTTTTATGTCTGATATTTATCTATTAACATTCTTCTTCTTGGGTAGATCCACCGGATAGAGAGGTTCGAATTAGAAGACTCTGCAGACAACAAACAACAAGAACGATATCAAAGTTTTGTTTCCATGAAACTTGTAAGGATATATAGCACAAATCTAAAACAAAGACTCACAGTTTATTAGGCAAAGTTAATTGTCAGGATCCTGTTGCTCAGGTCCTTGTTGTTGCCACATTGGTTGACCCATATACGGGTTAGGCGGATATGCACCGGGGTTACCCATAACCATTCCCGGGTTCCCGATCGGAGCAGTTCCAGGAGGCAAGTATCCATACGGGTAACCTGCTGCTGTAGCGGCTTCAGCACCACCAACACCACCCAAGACTTCATCACGAAGATCCTCACGAGGAACAATATCCACAAGGAAATCAAAGATATCAGTCCTAGTAACAGCAGCCGCGATATCATTCTTCTGCAACGTCCTCCTCTTGTTCTCCTCAGTGTGGTTCCACGACCTCAGGGTAAGCTCCAGAATAAACATCTCACAAGCCCTCGCAAACACAACAGGCGCCTCAGCCGAGATCATCCTCACATCCTCATCAGCTTTCATGATCTTCTTGATTCTTGCCAAAGGAAGGCTATGGTTCTTGAAATCAGTGGTTTTCTCAATCTCTTTGAACTGAGTCTCCCAGAAAGATTGAAGCTGTTGAGTCAGCTGCTGTTGCTGTTGCTGGTGGATCTGATGGTATGCAGGATGGTCAGAACCAGCTGGTGCAGTGGTCATAGGGTTGGTTTGGTATGGGTTAGAACCATAGTTCATAGCTGATGATTGTCCTTGTTGATCCATTCTCTCTAACATCAACACAGAAGTTTAAAAATGTTTAATCTAAAGCTGATTTGGTGTTCATTCTCTACTTACATAATAATCAAACAAAAATATCAAAACTTGAATCTATACAAATATCAAAAATTGAACCTTTAAAATTAAAAATTGAACCTTTAAAATTATCAAAAATTGAACTTTTAAAATGAAGCAGAAACATAACTTTAGTCACTCAAACACAATGCAAAATATCAAATTTTTCATGGAATCATCAGAGGAACAATCATAAAACTAAAGGGTTTGATTCAAAATCTGATTTTGATGTAAACCCAGAAAAATATTGGGAAATCTAAAGAGAAAGATGTTACCTTTACAAAGATTGAATGAATCAGGAGTGAGAGATTTAGAGGAGAGGCTTTTGGTGGTGGAAGAGAGAACTTGAGATCTGGAATTCTTATTATTATGGGTTTTATCGCCTTTTGGTTGGGATTTTTATTATAGGGTTTTTGGTTTTTGGTTTACACTTTTTCTATAATTGAATAAATATAGAAGACAGATGGCGTTAGTAATAGATTTTAAAAAATGTAAATAAAGATGACTTTTGTATTTTTTCGAAATTCGAATCTATTAAAAAATATCATTTTAGCTTACGTCATAATATACCTTTTTTATTAGTTATTGAACGATTACGGCCCATCAAGACATTTAAACGAACCTTTGAAGTCCAAGAAGCTCAAGTAAGCTAAAGTGCTAAACGAGATGGGCAAGAAAACCAAACCAAAATAAATGTTTTGGTTTAGTCTGGTGATGGTTAAATCTAAAAGTTCATCTGGTTAAAAATGGTTTTGTATAACAATTTAGGATAATTACATATGATTTTTTTTATCCAATTTATAACTTACTTTATATCATATAACATTGTCATTTTTATTGGGGTTATAGTTACTGATTTGATTTATAAGAGGTTAGAACCATAAATTACGAATAAAAAATGTATATTAGCGAGAACAGATCAAGCCCTGAACTTGCAGATTCATTTATCTACGATGATGCTCCCAAACTCTGCTCAGGAGGACGACACTTTTGTTTGGACTGTAGAGGGGCAGCCCTGCGGGGAATTCTCGGCGAGTAAAACGTGGGAGGCGCTGAGACCAAAGGAGTCAGAGAAAGAATGGGCTGATCTTGTTTGGTTTAAGGGCTCAACGCCTAAACAAGCGTTTCACATGTGGCTTGCAAACCTTGATAGGCTCCCAACAAGATCAAGGCTTGCTTCATGGGGAATGAATATCCCAATAACTTGCTGTCTTTGTGGCGTTTCAGAGGAAACAAGGGATCACTTATTTTTGCATTGCCAATTCTCACAGGTCCTGTGGAAGGCTGTTTTGCAGAAACTCAAATTACCCCAAACTCTGTTCACAGATTGGAGAGCCCTCTTGGCTTGGTCCAAGGATTTCAACCCTAGCTCACCTAAGACTCTGCGTATTTTGGTGGTTCATGCTGTGGTTTATAACGTTTGGCGTCAAAGAAACAACATTTACCACAATCAAGTATCCATTCCACCGCTTACTATCTTCAGAGATATTGACCGGCTGATTAGGAACTCCATCACGGCTAGGAGAAATCTCAAGAGCTTCAGAAACCTTATGGCACTTTGGCTCAGCTAGTTGGACCGATCTCTTTCCTGTGTTTAAGATTTTAAATCATCTACTGCTCCTTGTTTTTTAGCTTTTTTTGGCAAGGGTCAGTTTTAATAGGTCTTTAACTTTGTAACACCTACTTTTCATCTAATGATATTTACCTTTTAGCAAAAAAAAAAAAAAAAAAAAAAAAAAAAATGTATATTATGGGAGTGATGACGAATTTTTCTTACTTTTTTTTCAGTGGCTTTTAACTTTTAAAAGTTTAAATTTAAACTAAGCATTTGGGTTAAAAAAAACTATATTTGGATTTTATTATTTTGAATTATGTTTAAGTTTTACACTTATTCTTAATCGATATTATAACTTAATTTTTCTTTTGTAAAAACATGAAATAGCCGTTATAAACCAAAACTAAACCAAAATCAAACCGAACCGTGATATATACAGTTTTATTTTATATATGGTTTTATTTTACATAAAACCAAAAATCGTAAACCAAACCAAATTACTTACCATTTCTATATGGTTCAATTTTTGTAAAACAAAAAAAGACCGAAAACTAGAAATACCAAACGCCCCATCCCCCCTTAGACCATTACTGTTCGCCGCGTACTAACATGTGTCAGTGGTAAACAAATACTCCTTCTGTTCTAGAATAGTTGGTCTTTTTGAGAAAATGCACACATATTAAGAAATCATTAATTTTCCTTATTTTTAGATAAAACATCATTTAATGTTTACATTAAAACAATTTAACCCATGAAAAACAGTATATAATATAAATTGTTAAAATCAATAAAAACTTTATTTAATTATACGTAGAATTGTGAGAAAATCATCTATTTTTTGAAGAAAAAAAAATAAGGCAAAAAGATCATCTATTTTAGAACGGATGGAGTAGTGGATTTGTCTGACTTAAATTATATCTGGAATGTACTGACCAACCATTCAAGAACTAAAAATGAAACATATATTGGACTGGAGTGTACTGACCAGCCATTCAAGATCTAAAAGTGAAGCATACTCCAATATGGAGTTTAGCATACCAAAATGTTAGTACGCATTGTCCAGTATATAGTGTATTGACCAACCGTTCAAAGCCAAAATGAAGATTGATCTAATGGATTCTAAAAGAAACTTCTAAGCTTAAGACAAGGTGAGTTTGTTAATGGATTTTGAACTTGATTTCGATTCACAATATCTCCGATTTAGTTTACAAAATCTTTGTGCTTTCGAATCATAGGGTGAGGTTGATAACAAATTTTAATCTTTACATATAAAGAAAATATCGTTACTAATCACTTTCTGTTTTGATAAACAAATTTTGATGAAGTTTAAACTACTTGAGCTTTTAATTGCTAACCTCTAAGCCAATATGCAAGAAACATATCCAAAGAGACTAAAAGCACTAATCATTCATTACTAATCCTTATAAATTCCTAACAATGTTTGGTCATGTCTTTGAAAAAGTGTTATCATCAGATATACTGTGAAGGAAAAATTGTATGGACTTCGAAGGAGTGACTCCTTGGCAATATTAAGCAACACTGATATAAATTTTACAAAGATAAATGGATTCATTTATCTATACACATATACAATATCAAAGAGAATATCTCAACTTAAAAAGGGAGTTACAAGTTAAACAAAAGACTGTCATGGCATAATATCATCAAATGACAAGCTTTCTCGACGGCTAGGAAACCGCGACGAATCAGAACTTTTGTTGAAAGCTTTAACAAGGGGAATGAGGGAGTGAACAACATCCGTCATTAACGGTCTGTAACTTGCTTCTCGTTGCACACACACCGCTGCTATGGCTGCTACCTGTTTCATAATATCCATCACAACTCTTGGCTCTTTCCCATATACATATTAATTTCAGTAGCGTTACATTCGTTGTCACGCGAACATTAGAAGTCAAATGGTGTCATAAATAGATCAATCAACTATATGGTAGTCTAGTTGAACAACATTAACCAACATTGAACACTTTAAATAGGAAGAAAACAAAAAAAAAAAAGTGAAGAAGTCACACCTGAATAAGATCTTTTTGTGAGTATTGACCTTTCAGGGTTGGATCCACCATTTCACTTATTTTCTCTCTGTTGGTTAACCTTGGAAGAGCCTGAAAATATATGTGACATTTTCACAATATATGTATTACAAGCTTTTTTATATAGAAGGTCTATGAGACAATATTGAGTAGTTCAAATTTATAATATGCTATCAAACATAAATAATGGTATACTTACCCATGAGACAAGGACATCTTCTCCTCGCGGACGCTTTGAATCAATCGGTGTGCGACCAGTTAAGAGTTCTAGTAACACAATACCATAACTATAAACATCTGATTTTGTAGTAAGCTTTCCAGTAGAAGCGTACCTATCTCAACACAAAAATGAATATGGTTAGTTGTCTCTATAGAGCAATTGAGTGATTATAATCTTTTAAATTTTTGCGTAACATACTATGGATAGACCACAACCACTACCATATTCATATTGTTTGGTTACATATGAGATGATTTTCATGGTTCACAATTATTGCTAACCCCTTACACCTAATATTGGTTTCGACTTGTTTCATTAATTTTTTGTTTTGAACTTTGTTGTTGCAAAAATATGAAAATATATTGAAGTATTACTTACTCTGGAGCAAGATATCCAGTGGTACCGAGCACTCTTGTTGAAATCTCACCATTAAGTTTATCCGATCCAGTTTTCGCCAATCCGAAATCCGAAACTTTAGCTCGATTATTTTGATCCAACAAAATGTTGGCACACTTGAAGTTTCGGTGGATCACAGTAGAGACGGGATTTTCGTGTAGAAACTCTAGAGCTCGGGCGCAATCGAGGGCGATCCTAAGCCGGGTTCCCCAATCTAAAGGTGGAGATTGATCCTTTACATTCTTACAACTATGGCCATGGAGATGATGCTCCAATGTACCATTAGGCATATATTCAAATATCAGGATCCTATGGTTTTGATCAGCACAATATCCATGTAACTCCACCAAATATGGACATTGTAATCGACTAAGAAGATCAACCTGCACCATTGAACTTAATGGTCACAAGTCATCATGATAATGTAGTTGTGCAAACACATAGCATCAATGAGTTGACCTAATGACTACTAATTAATAAACAAATCCACTTGTTTATTTATTGACTAATACACAAAAATTATTGAATTGTGGTACTTCATTTTATCTAGTAGATATATAGACACACGGACCAAAATCTCTATATCCAATGATTTGATTTTTTATAGAATCCCAGCACATGGATGCCAAATAAAACAAAAAAATCCCAGCACATTCTGAAAGGGGCATGTCAATTTAGTGGAATTCGTTTTCAATTTTTTTTTTATATAACTGCGTTGTATTTTAGCAAATACATATTTTTGAATATATAGGAAAATATCAAAAACAAAATTTCAATCTTGTGATCTATTATAAAACTATTATAGTTCTTGTTTTAGAAATCTAGTGCATGGATGGTAATTACTTGACTATTACATCATAGAAGTTATTGGTCAACATATATAATATATAAATCCAAGAAAGATTAGATGTATTTTGATCTATTGATTATTCTTAAAAATACGAACCTTATCGTCTATAAAGTGTTTTTTACGAAATAAATTTTCCAAAATGATATATATATATATATTTTTTTCAATTTTACCATTAGCTTACATAAATAATTGTAATTTTCGAAATATCATCAACTTATAAAAATAAAGATCAAATTCGAGGAATAGTATTATTTAATCCGGTATAGAATTCACATATGTATTTTCGAAAAAATATTTATGGTCACATATATGACATTTTAATATCTAAAAGTGGATTTAGACTTTTCATCACGAAAGATATAATTTATCATAATAAAACAGACTTGACAATGATCACGGTCACTTATATTGCAAGTTAAATTTGGTCTCATGGCTTTGATTTGATTGTTTTCTATGGTTGTACTAATTTTTAGTTGTAAAGGAGTCTCGTGAGTCACCTACTTGGAGTAATACATTTAATCGTTTCAACGATTTCAAAATTTTCAATGAAACGGTATATGATTCAAAATTTTCAATATATTTTATATAATTACTAGTGTATTAATTTCATGTCTTGATAACATGGAAACAATAAATAAGCACAAAAAGAGTAGATAAGAAAGAATGGGACAATAAATGAAGTGGGCACGAGACTAACCTCAAGTCTAAAGGACCTCTCTTCATGCTTTTGGTTACTAGCATTATCATTAAGCATATGAAGCTTTTTAATGGCTGCAACAGTTCCATCACTTAGTACTCCTTTATACACATCTCCATATCCACCACTTCCTATCTTCTTCTCATCGCTGAAATGATTAGTTGCAATCTCTAGTTCCTTGTATGTGTACACTTCTACTCCTTCTGCTCGACTTCTCCTACAACTTTTTGTATGTGGAGGCAGTTGTCTGAACGATGTTGGGTTTCTTGAATATAGACAATCTCTCTTGATGTCATCTAACCAAAGAAAATTAGAGTTCATTGGATGTGGAAGTGGTTATATATAAGTATATATAAAGATACGAGAATCTCCACTCATTGCTGATTGGTTTTATAAATCTTACCAGGACTAGATGTGTAACTGTAGTTGGTTGAAGTCCCACCATTGTTAATGTTACTAAAGCTCTCTTTGCAAGACAGCTGTTGTGCTTTGTCTCTTGCGGATTTAAGACGATGAAGTAGAAGGATTATTAGGAGAATTGCAAAGATTATGAAGAAGGAGATGATGGAGATGCCAATGATGATCATTGCATTTATTGAAATGAGGCCATGCTGATTCTGCTCGTGGCCGCTCCGGGATGGTGGATGATGGTAGTGTTGGTGGTTGCTATGGTTTTTGTTTTCCATTTTTACAATGGAGTTGTTCATTTATGCGAGAGAGAGAGGATGATGGGTGGGTGAGAGGAGAGTGTAGGTTTAGAAAAGAGTTGAAGTATATTTGTCTATATATACACATATATATGCTTGATATGTGTTAAGTGAGATAACTGAAAGAAGATTGTCAGAAAAAACAATATTTGAAGTAATGAAGGAAAAAAAACATTTTGGACTATTGCAACAAAAAAAAAGAATAATATATAGGCTTATGATATTATTTTTAGAGAATAAAATTTAAATAAAAAGTTTTAAAAATCAATTGGCTACTAGTACACATTCTCCTCAAGCTCATTGGTTAATGTGTGGTTGTTGGTTATAAATTAGTATAACCATAATATTGGAGAATATGCATATTGGTGTTTCATAAGAGCAAAGCCATTTATATAATAAAACAAATAAGAAAAAGTGGTTTTATTTTATTTTATTATCCAAGGTATGATCCATGCTAGCTTTTTATAATCCGACTAATTTTACTAGGGTAAGTGTTGTCCATTTAACGAATTTTCTAAATGGGATTTGCATGACACTATTTCAACTGGTTAAATAGAGTGATTTAAGGTAATATATGCACTATTGTAGTAAATCAAGTTACAATATTATAAATTGTAATGTATGACGAGAATGAAGAAAAAATACATAAATGTTTATCTAAAATATCATAATACATTTTTTCAAAAATAAACCTTTGATTAGTTCTCAACTAGAGTGTTCAGTCTATAATATATTCAGAAATCTTTTTACCAACTAGAATAGAGACAGTACTTCTTAGAGTGTTAATGGTTATCGAAGCCAAGATGGATAAATCCGTCGATGGTTTAGTTCACTCTTTTTTCCGGGTAGACAACAAACCGCTGAACCAACTATATTTGTATGTAAAAACATTCTGCTGTCGGTCTGAAGTAGTTTATTTTTATTTTTATTGGATACGCATCAATATATATGGACATAATTTATGAATGGGTAAGTATAAAGCAGTCTAATCCACGGACGAATTTGTCCACCTTAACTAACAAGACTAACAAAAAATATTAAGAACTTCTTCAGTAACAAACTAACCGTATATACAATAGCGGTAATTAAAACTAAATGATCTCTAATATCACAAAATTCATATGTCGGATGAAAAAAAATATCAAAACGTTACCCAAAGATCAGAACGTTAGCAATTTGGTATATCAACATCTAGTGCATCGGAACTTTGTGTAGGTGCGTAATGAAAATGACTTTTCTTTAAGTTAATACAATAGAAAAGACGAATTACAAAAGCAGCAACACGAGCACTTTGTTTTTCCTCACGAAATTAAGATAGATAGATAAGTTTTGTTTATGGCCATACACATAATGTGAAGGCAAATTCTTTTTTGGATTTTTTTTTTTTTTTGGTCTGTCTCTTTCTTGTAACATGTGTAGATGATATGATCACTTGATTGTTATATGTTCTAGTCCTTTATAAAAATGTAGAACGACTTATTCTTGTTTTTTTAATGTCTTTTTAATACGAACTAATAATTGAAAAAATAAAAGAAGTTGAAAACCAAATATTGTTGGATTGTCTTATGGTTAGGCTTTCTTTCTGATTTCTTTACAACACAAAACCAATCAGAGAATAATATTACAAAAGTGCATGGTGATTTCTTTACATATTTGATCTCATATCTTATATTTTTGATTATTTGATTGTATTACCCTTACATTTTTTTTTGTCAATTTTGAGCCAATAATATATATATAAATTGGTCTTTGGCTTTTATACAATAAATTGTTCGCGTAATATATATTAATATTAATACAAATATCAATATCCAAAAATGTTTAATCAATTATTAAAGATATTTGAAAATATGTCTTCATTTATTAAAAAAAATGATGTTAACTTTTATGGTTTTTTTTTTTTTACTTTTTGAATAATAAAAGGTTTAGGGTCAGAACCCATACATTATTTTCAAACCGAGACCAGAACATGTTATATAGTCTCGTTCCAAATGCCATTCGAATCGACGAACTCTAGACGTTTGCTAGTAATCTTTACCAATATAGCTATTAGCACTTGGTTTTTCTTTTTGTTACTGTATCCTTATTTTTTGTTTGCTAAACTTCATGTATTTATTGTGATCTCAACTATAAGTCAGTCATACGCAAAAGATGGATTTTTCTCTGTTCGTAGCAGCATAGGTTGCCCTACACACAAGAAGCAATTATGAAACAAATTAATAGAGTACACCATGACCGGGTTCTTGAACTCGAGCTAAAGACTTAAAGCCGGATACACGTCTTTCAAAGAGGTAGGGGAGGTGACCACTCATAACTCCTAAACCTAATGGTTACTTAGTTACTCATCCAAGTTTATATCTCTTTTGGCAAAACGTTCACGTGTGGTTTGGTTTAGTTTGTTGTCTTAAAACTAACTAAATGTATACATTTTTTGGTTAGAAATCTTGTTTACTTGTTTAGATAGTAAATTAAAACATAATTTAGATACCAAATAAGAGTTGATAATAGTTATAATATAACCATTCCAATGATTGGGGTTCAAGAAAGTCACATGCTCCATATAGGTTCACATGTTCGAACTACTCACAAGTCAACGTCTTGTGTGTTCATATTCATCAAACTCACATGTCGTAACCAAAGACAGTTTCACGCTATTAGAAAATTATTAACATAATAACATGCAAGTTTTAAACCAAAATAATTTTAAGCTCTAACTGATAACACGCGTAATAACCAAGTGCTAATAACTTAACTGGTAAAGATTTCTGGCAAAAGCTCAGAGGTCGCCGGTTCGAGTAGCGCTTGGGACGAAACCATATAACATGCTCTGGTTTCAGGGATGTATGGGATTCGGTCCAGAACCTCTTTGATTATTCAAAAAATATAACACGCGTAATAGCATAATGCGTTATCTGATGCGATTATGTAGAAAGTTTATCAGTTAAAAGAATTACATAATCCCATTAAAAACGTAAAAAACGCAGTTATGTTTTTGCTTAAAAATACAAGTAAAATCTCGTTACGACAATAAGTAGCCTAATAATGCATGTAGTAACAATTTTTTTATTTAGGCTACATATTCACAAAATGTGTGTTAATTACCACTAACTAAGGTAACACTAACTCTTAGGGGGGTGTATTGAACTGCATATTTAAGGAGATTTGGTGAGATTTTAATATTTTAGAATTTTGAGAGATTTGAGTGTAGATTGTAGAATTTTGGGTTATTTGTTAAGATTTTAAAAAGAAAATAACTTGTGATTTGGTGAGATTTGATTATAGTGACTTTAGGATACTTATGGATAATTTTTAACGTTGATAACTTTAAAAAAAAGAAAGGTAGGAAGAATGTGATTCGATCACCTAGGAGAATCAGTGAGCAGGAGTCATTAGGAAGCCATTAATTTTGTACTTCTAATCACAACCTTATGACCCATTAGGAAGTGTTTACTTTCTTCTCCGCAACATCAATACCCCTAAGATGAAAAAAGAGAGGAAAGAGAGGATTCTTACAAAGGAGTGAGAGAGATGATGATATGATATCGTGCATATCTATATGAATGAAAGGACTTTTTCACATCCATATATATATATATATATATATATGTATTAGGTTGTGTGTGTAAACAAAGGACTAGGGTCTGTTCTTTTTGAGTGTCGCTTGAGACACGTACGACGACTAAAATTTACACACTGTTTCTCCTTTCTCTATCGCTGAATCTTTATCGTTTAACTAGTTTCCTTCATAATATCTGCAGTTTCGATGCCGCTTGTTTTTTCAGCGACGTATTCCACCGGTACGGACGTCGCTGCTCTCCATTTTTTACAAGGTTCCTTGTCGCTGAATCCAAACTATATTAACGTCAATTTATGGTGTCGCTAGCGACATGTAAAAGTAAAAGAACATGGCCTTTTTATATAAAATAACGAAAACGCCTCTTGGGAGCGAAGAAGAATTAGCAGAGAGATTACCTTCTGGGTTACCACGTGCATATCGTTATAAAAGTAAAAACACACACACAAAAACAAGTAAAGACGATGGAGAAAATACTACCTTCCATTGATTCCTTGGTTTGTTCATCGTGAGAGAGAGTGAGAGAGAAAGAGAGAAGGTATAGAAGAGAGATGGGTTACGATCATTTGTTTTTTCTTTTAATTGGTTTCATACCCTCTTTTTAAAATCTTTCAAAGTTTCACCTATAAAGGTGTGATTTTTCAGTCATATATTTTAACTAAAAGTATTAGAAAAGTCTCCTAGAATCACATTCAGTAGTTTTTAAAAGAAAATTTGTGATATTTTGAATAACAGTATATTTGAAATGAAATTTATAAATTATTGATTGAATAACAAGAGATTGTGAATGATTTTAAATGATTTCTATAAATTTCATATTCAATAACATAGGATTTCATAAGAGTTTTTAAAATGACTAATTGAATAACAGGGAATTTTAAGAGTACTTTAAAATCTCCTAAAATATGCAGTTCAATACACCCCCCTTAAAGTCGATGTCTTGACATGAAAATCAAACATAGACCTTCTAAAGAAGAAGAGGAAAGATGTTGAGAATTTTTTAAATATTTTATAAAGTTGGTATAAGAAAAATGGGGGAATTAAGTTATTACTATCACCAAAAGAGATAACAGTATTTGTCTTTTACACCAATATTATTAGATCATGGGCTTCCAACTTAAAATCAACTAGGGTCGGATCCGCGCTACAGCGTGGGATATGTTTTAGGATTCATTTTATTTTAACGTATTTTTATCGTATGTGATATTATTTTTTTATTTTTGTATCAGTAATTATTATTTCGAAATCTATATTTGGTTTCAATTCTTTGGGAAAAGTGTGTATTGGGATACAACAATTATATAAAATAAATAAAAGAACCAACCCGTAAAAACTCGTGTATTTTAAAAAGAAGTATGAGAAATGAGTAATAAAAAATAAAAGTATAATTAAATAAATATAATTGAATCATGACATAAAAATGAATATATTTGAAAAATGAGAAAAGTTAAATCCCTATA